GGTTGGAGAGCTCGGAAATCTGCAGCTGAGTACTTCCTCGGTAACGGGACTGGACTGGCCGCTATTGTAAGCCGTCAAGAGTTTCCCGAATTAGAAAAAAAGTGGAGGAATACAAAAACGGACTTTTGGAGGAGCAAGGAAGTCTCCCAAACATTGGCCCGTGTACGAGGTCAAAAAGCATCTACAGGAGTCATTACATATCGAGGAATTCAACTTCGTTTTGATGACATGCTCTATCCTAAGGAAAGCAGAGACGACTTGTGGTTCTACGTTGGCTTTTCAGTGGCTGGTCCGTACGCATACGATCCAGTAGATAAAGACACTTATTCGAACATGACCAGAAAAGCAGCAAACAGAAAGTTAGCGGCTTTTCCGTCCACCAGTACCTCAAACGACAATGGGAGTTGTGCCTTATTTGCTGCTGGTCGTGGGGGAGGGAGACGAAAACCGCGTGAACGAAACATTGGCAGTGGGAAACAGACAAATCTGGATGCAATAAACGACAACGGGAGTTGTGCCTTATCTACTGTTGCTCGAGGGAGAGGGAGACAAAAACCGCGTGAACGAAACATTGGCACTGGGAAATAGAGAAATCCGGATGTAAAAGACATGAAAGAAGAAACCACTATTATCTCAGCTGTGCCCAGTTGTCAAGAGCAGCTCCCTAGTGAACTTTGTGATGGACCAAGAGGACTTGTGAACTCGTCTCCATGCTCCAGGTCTACTGCTCCATCGCCTTTAGTCAGCGATGATAATTTTCAGGGGCCTACGGCAACAACAATTCCACCTTCTTATGTATCTGCGTTAAAACACGAAGAAGCCAGCCACGAGAGGGGAAGAGCTAACGCTCGAAGCCAGCAACCTGTGGTCTCAGTAGTGCGGCAAGAAATAGAATGCAAAAGGGGTCATCAGGGAGAACAGTGGCGTAATTTCCGACTAACGCACGTTGATGGCAAAGGGAGGGTTCACCATGGATCACTGGTACGAGGAGCGTACAAGTCTGTAGAATGCCGCAACCACACGAACACCGACTCTTCCAGCGGTATTAAGCGCTGCCCTTTTGCACATTCATGGAGAGGAGACACTATTCAATTTGTTTGTACCAAGTGTACAGAAGATAACAAACCAGAGTGCAAACAAAAGAAGGAACACAATGAATTTATTTGGAACTTAGGCCCCTACATCACCAAGGCGGGAAGAGTCTGGAAAGAAACTTACAAACAGAAGACCTCAAAGTAATCGTCTGTTAAGTGAATCTAAGTGAGGTAAGTGGGAAGTTTCTCCTCACTTATCACCATCCTGCAGTCCTGCAGGGCGAAGACTTACTAAACTTAGACTCGGTGAAAAAAATTAGCGACTTAGCTAAGAAGATCATTTGAAAATACCGCGAGCGGAAGTTTTCGATCTTCGTGACTGAAAGAGAGATTTGAAAAGTTAAAAAATGGCACTGACGACGAACATCATCATCGAGCCTAGTGTTCATGGTTGAATCAAAAGTGCAAGAATAAACTGGAGAGCAGAAAAAATGAACTGGATTTTGCGATAGTCTTTGCATGAACAACAGTAAGAAGATGTGGCAAATTAATAGGGTTCTTACCACTACGAAACAAGTCAAGGCAATCTTAACAATGAGCGTCAGGACAAATCAGGCCAATGGCGTTCAGAGGCACAAGAAATTGTTAACTGATTGACCAAATACTGTTCCGACATTTGCAGCCTCGAGATCGAACAAGATCATCTGCTGGGACTATGACGAGGTGGAGACTGCAGTGAGATCACTGAAGATTGGGAAGTCGAATGGAAAGTTCAAAACAGCGACAGAACTGCATTCAAGAAGCGTGGGAGCGATGATCACTTCTCTCACAGCAACCTTGGCCTCGTCGACCCAATCTTTACCAATCTCAAGAAGTGTATTCCCAGCCGTGTCAAATTAACCTCATTAGTCACCAGAGTAAAGTCACTCTGAAAATTACACTAAGCCGTCTCAAGATTACTTCTTAAGAAAACGCGGGTTTTCGATCGAAAAGAACCCTGTAGATCTTTCTGAGGATCAGATTAGCCTTCTTTGCAAGACTCATCTCCAGCTCTTTCAAGATCTCCACCGTGGGGGGCCTCACGTAAGCCAGTGCAACCTCG